GATAGAGAGTTAGAAACATCGATGAGAGAGAAACATTGATCAGCCGCCTCCTGCACACCCCCTACTGGGGATGTGCCCGCAACCAAGGTACATGCCCCTGACTGGGATCGAACCCGGGACCCTTGAGTCCGCAGGCCGAGCTCTATCCACTGAGCCAAACCGGTCAGGGCACTCACATTTCTTCTTATTCTCTCCGCTACTTCATGGGGAAAACAGAAAGACAAAAGCTTAAACTCTACTGATTAAACTTCTGTCTCATTTATATCTGAGTCTAGAAATTTATTATCATTACGACGTTCTCCTTAACTTCTATCTCAATGGAAAAGAAATCCAGAAAAGACTTTTTAGCTTTCTTTTTTGAGTAGGTAATATATTCTTGTGTCTCACAAGCCAGAAAATATAAAAGTGTCAGGACTCTCTCTTGTCTACCACCTTCCAGTGTGAACCTCCCTCACAGTAGGTAGCCACTGTCCCTCGATTATTTTTTATGTTTTAAGATATATTTTTATTGATTTCAGAGAGGAAGGGAGGGAGAGAGAGATAGAAATATCAATGATGAGAGAGAACCACTGACTGACTGCTTCCCGCACACTCCCTACTGGGGATTGAGCTCGCAACCCAGCATGTGCCCTTGACCAGAATCAAACCCAGGACCCTTCAGTATGCAGGCCGACACTCTATCCACTGAACCAAACTGGCTAGGTCTAGAAACTTTTTCTTCCCCCCCTCTCCTTGTGTACCGTAGGGATCAGTAATATTAGTTTATTTAAGAATTTATTAAATAACTTTATTTTAGATATGTATTCAATTCTGAATCCAGATCTCAGAATATAAAAGAAAATACAGTACACTTACTCTTAAACATAAGAAGATGAGAGTTATGTTAGAGGATCAGTGCACACTGATTTTTCAAGTGCCCTATTCAAATTATAATTGCTGTATAATTACCCCAACATTTGGCTGCCTAAAAATTAATATGTTTATGGAGTTAAGTGGTCAGGAATTTGGGTAGAGCATAGTAGGAATGACTTGTCTGCTCCATGTCAGTAGTTCACCTGGGAAGATTCAAAGGCTGGGTGTTGACAGCTGGGGGCTGGATGATCTGGAGTGTTTACTCACGTGCCTGGCACTTAGCTTAGAAGGACTCAAGGACTTGAATTGCTGACTGGAGCATCTGTAAGTAGCCTCTCCATATGATTTGGGCTCACAGTTTACAGTTTTAGATTACTAGGACTTCTTAATGGCAATTCAGGGCTCCAGAAGAAAGTGTTTCAGCAAACAAGGCGGAACAACACTGCCTTTCTGACCTAGTTTCTAAAGTCACATAACATCGTTTTAGCTGCACTGTCTTAGTTTTGGGAGAGTAAAAAATCTGCCCAGATTCAAAGGAAGGAAACATAGCTGGTGTGGCTTGGGGGTTGAGTGTTGACCTATGAACTAGGAGGTCACTGTTCGATTCCTAATCGGGGCACATACCCTTATTGTGGGCTCCATACCCAGTAGGGGATGTGCATGAGGTGGCTGATCAGTGATTTTCTCACATCATTGATGTTACTATCTTTCCCTTCCTCTCCCTTCCTCTCTGAAATCAATAAAAAAACAAACATATATTTAAAGGGAAGGAAATATAGACCCCTGTATCTTTTTAAAAAAAGCTTGTGAAATGGAAGATATGATTGTGGCCGCCTTTGGAAAATACAGTTTGTCATACCTGTACATGTATGAAATGTTTCTGTAATGGACCATCCCATTGTGGCCGCTGGAAAATACAGTTTGTCATACCTGTACATGTATGAAATGTTTCTGTAATGGACCATCCCACCTTAAGCTATTGCTCAACTATTGGAACCCTTTTCTGTCTTTACACCTTAGTCTTTGACCCCAGTCTCTGAGGACTATGAGCTTGCTCCTAGTTACCTGCATAGATTCTATTAATGAATAGAATGGGAAGATGGGAAACTTACAGATTCACACACTTATGCTGAACCTTTGTAATGAGGCCTCTTTGTATATTGGGTGAATACCTGTGTGATGTGCACCTATGTGTACATAGATGTTTACCCATGTGTGTTATTCATTACAATTTAAGTAATGTAATTGAAATTTTAGAATAGTGAGGTAGAAGGATTGCTTTTAAAAAAAATAAGTTTTTTATTGATGTCAGAGAGGAAGGGAGAGAGAGAGAGAAACATCAGTGATGAGAGAGAATCATTGATTGGTTGCCTCTTGTGTGCCCCACAATGGGGATTGAGCCTGCAATCTGGTCATGTACGCTGACTGGGAATCAAACCGTAACCTCCTGGTTCATAGGTCGACACTCAACCACTGAGCCACACTGGCTGGACAAAAGTATTACTTTTTATTTAGCAGATAACATCTTTGCAGCAAGATGTTAATTAGCATTTTTAGTCCAGATGAGTACAACATTTTTGTTTCTTGCAGATATGCAATATGATGAAGATGATGATGAAATCACCCCAGATTTGTGGCAAGAAGCATGCTGGATTGTAATCAGGTAACTTTTAAGGCTAAACTGAATAAGCTTTAAAAGGCACTATAACCAATAAAGGGATTTCCTACTTATTCGGTTCTTGAAAATTAGCTGTTCTGTATCATTGTGCTACGTGAGAGCCAGTTTCTTATTTTATTTATTTATATTTAACTTTAAGTATTTTGGACTTACAGAAAGGGTACACAATGAATTCATGTATATACTTCACCTAAATGTTAACCCTATATTATATTTTCTTTGCCTTTTTTTGTCTCCATATTTTTTTCTGAAACATTTGATAGTAAGTTGCAGACATAGGAACATTCTTTTACATAAATCATCAAAATCAGGAAATTAGTATTAATATAATAATCTTATTTAATCTGCAGACCTTACCCAAATTTTGCCAGTTGTTGCACTAATGTTGTTGATAGCAAAATAAATTTTTTTCTGATTCTGGATCTAACCTAGGATAACATATTGTGTTTGTTTTTCATGATTTATTCTTTTATCGCCTATAATATAAAACAGTTCCTCATTTTTTTTTACCTTGACATTTTTGAGAAATACAAGCCAGTTATTATTCCCCATTTATTTATTCATTCATTCATTCATTTAAATATGTTTTTATTGATTTTAGAGGAAGGGAGAGGGAGAGAGAGATAGAAACATCAATGATGAGAGAGAATCATTGATCAGCTGCCTCCTGCACACCCCCCCACTGGGCATTGAGCTTGCAACCAGGGCATGTGCCCTGACCAGGAATTGAACTGTGACCTCCTGGTTCATGGGTTGACGCTCAACCACTGAACCACCCTGGCTGGGCCTGGCCAGTTACTTTTTAAAATGCCCCTTAGTTTGAGATTTGTGTGATAGTTCCTTATAATTAGATTTGGGTGATTACTTTTGGTAGCAGTGATGCTCTGCTCTGGAAGTATTATATTAGGAGGCACATGATGCCTATTTGTTTAATTATTGGTGATATTAATTTTATTTCTTTGTTTTTTCCTTATTTTAAATGGATAATTAGGTTGTGTTTCAACCCAAATTCCCCTAATTTAAGTGTAATTAAAATGTAATGAAACTCGGGAAGAAACCTTACATATAGATAAGAAAACTAACATACATACACACACACACACACCACGCACACTAGAGGCCCAGTGCACTAATTCGTGCACCAGTGGGGTCCCTCAGCCTGGCCTGTGGACATTCTCCAAGGGGTCCTGGATTGAGAGAGGGCACAGGTCAGCCCGAGGGATCCCACCAGTGCACGATCGGGGCTGGAGAGGGACTGCAGGAGGGCTCCAGGGCGTGTCTGACCAGTCTGACCCAGTCCCGATTGGCCGG